TAAAACCTGGCTCTAATACCACTGTTGGGGAACGTAGTAATTTCAAAAAAAATCCTACGCACACGCAAGATCATGGTGATGCATAGCAACGAGAAGCGGAAGCGGTAGCGTTAGAACAACGCGGTTGATGTAGTCATACGTCTTCACGATCCGACCGATCCAAGTGCCGAACGTACGGCACCTCCGAGTTCAGCACATGTTCAGCTCGATGACGATCCCCGGACTCCGATCCAGCAGGGTGTCAGGGATGAGTTCCGTCAGCACGACAGCGTGGTGATGATCATGATGTTCTACCGATGCAGGGCTTCCCCTAAGCACCACAACGATATGACCGAGGTGGAATATGGTGGAGGGGGGCACCGTACACGGCTAAGGAACGATCACGAAGATCGACTTGGGTGTCATGGGGTTGCCCCCTGCCCCCGTATATAAAGGAGGAAAGGGAGGTGCTTCCGGCCCTAGGGGTGCGCCTGGAGGAGTCCTACTCCCACCGGGAGTAGGACTCCCCCCTCTTGCCTTGTTGGAGAAGGAAGGGGGAAGGGGGAAAGAGGAAAGGGGGTGCCGCCCCCCTTCCTTGTCATATTCGGACTAGGGGGGAGGGGCGCGCGGCCTGCCCTGGCCGGCCCTCCTCTTCTCCCTTAGGGCCCATGTAGGCCCAATAACCCCCCGGGGGGTTCCGGTAACCCCCTGGTACCCCGGTAAAATCCCAATTTCACCCGGAACGATTCCGATATCCAAATATAGGCTTCCAATATATCAATCTTTATGTCTCAACCATTTCGAGACTCCTCGTCATGTCCGTGATCACATCTGGGACTCCGAACAACCTTCAGTACATCAAAACTTATAAACTCATAATAAAATTGTCATTGTAACGTTAAGCGTGCGGACCCTACGGGTTCGAGAACTATGTAGACATAACCTATAACTATTTCCGGTAAATAACCAATAGCAGAACTTGGATGCTCATATTGGCTCCTACGTATTCTATGAAGATCTTTATCGGTCAAACCGCATAACAACATACGTTCTTCCCTTTGTCATCGGTATGTTACTTGGCCGAGATTCGATCGTCGGTATCCAATACCTAGTTCAATCTCGCTACTGGCAAGTCTCTTTACTCATTACGTAATGCATCAGTCCGTAACTAACTCATTAGCTACATTGCTTGCAAGGCTTATAGTGATGTGCATTACCGAGAGGGCCCAGAGATACCTCTCCGACAATCGGAGTGACAAAACCTAATCTCGAAATACGCCAACTCAACATGTACCTTTGGAGACACCTATAGAGCTCCTTTATAATAACCCAGTTATGTTGTGACGTTTGGTAGCACATAAAGTGTTCCTCCGGTAAACGGGAGTTGCATAGTCTCATAGTTATAGGAACTTTGTATTAGTCATGAAGAAAGCAATAGCAATATACTAAATGATCAAGTGCTAAGCTAACGGAATGGGTCAAGTCAATCACATCATTCTCCTAATGATGTGATCCCGTTAATCAAATGACAACACATGTCTATGGTTAGGAAACATAACCATCTTTGATTAATGAGCTAGTCAAGTAGAGGCATACTAGTGACATTAAGTTTGTCTATGTATTCACACATGTATCATGTTTCCGGTTAATACAATTATAGCATGAATAATAAACATTTATCATGATATGAGGAAATAAATAATAACTTTATTATTGCCTCTAGGGCATATTTCCTTCAATAGAAAGAAGTGCTTTTCCACCGGTATCAACACTTCAGCAGTTTGTGCAGCCAACTTTGGTCCACACATCCGAGCAGCCAAGCAATAAAATACTAAATCTTTATGGCACGAAGGAACTGGGCATCGGAGCAACTAGGTGCTCCAGAGTTCGGGTCCCTGATTTTTTTCTGCTACATCGGCTCGCCAGTGCAGGGCACCGGTGCGAGATGTAGCAACAGTTGTCTTTACACCGGTTTTGGCATACATAGTGGACGGCCTTAGTGCTATTAGTTCTATGTTACTAAATTTGTGCATGTACACACCTGTTAGTATCAATTTGCTATCATCCAAACACTGTCGCTATGCTATTGCAGTTATATTTACCTTCCTCATAAAATGTTCAATTTGTTATTTATAGTACATGAGTAAGAACTTGTAGTGTTGTTGTAGTTAATTATAGATTTTGATGTTTCGGAATTTGGTTGTTGTCTCAGTAGAAATTAATTCATTTGCACATTGATCTTTTTGAGAAGATATGTCATAATTAACCTGTTTCTTCAATTTTTCAAAATAAGTATTGGTGATTTTCTATGTTGCTATAAACCCATTTCCCCTACAATTTTTACTGATCTAGTTTTAAATATTATAGGATGAACGAAAGTGTTCTTACTTGGAGTGGGTTGATCAAGAGTGGCCATAGTTTTTGAAGATCTGCCTAGCAAAGCTCTGGAGCATGTATGAGGAAGAGAACAAAGGTAGGCTTAGAGAAAGTGTTGTCAACGCTGAAGAATATTTGAAGATGCGGGATAAAAAGAGGAAAGTGGAGAATGAGCTCAGATTTTTTAAGTGAGACTTTGTTAAGATGGTGTTGTCGAAGGAGGGGGCACTTTCCCAGTTGGCCAGTGCAAAACAGGTTCTTACTGAACTGAAAGCAGAGGTGGATAATACGAGTCTGGATGAACTTGATTAGGGTAATGAATATATTGTTCTAATATTGTTCTTATGAAGTTGAACTAGCTATATGCTATACTGTGTTGTTTTCAGGTAGCTATCGTACTGTGATGTTAAAATATATTTATGTGCCTGATATGAAATTGGCAAACAACTATTCGATATGAAATGTGAATTTGCATAATATTGGAGTTATTAATTGTAAACTAATAAACTTGCTAAATGTGTCATGGAACTTTGCAAAACGGTTCTAGTAGTAAAAGCGCTTGCGATGGATAGCCCAATGCCACACAGTTTTCTTCATCAAACCGTGTGTGATGTAGTTGATAAAAGCAAACAGTTAACCAAGACAGAGCGTGTGTGATAGTTACACCTATCACACATGAGCCTACATAAACCTGTGTGGGATGTACATACGAACAGAAACGTTTTCCCTGGATTGACTATGTGGGATGTAGATACGAACAGAAATATTTTCCCTGGATTGACTGTGTGGGATGTACATATGAACGAAAACTTTTTCCCTGGATTGACTGTGTGGGATGTAGATACGAACAGAAACATTTTCCCTGGATTGACTGTGTGGGATGTACATAAGAACGGAAACATACTCCTTGGATTGATTGTGTGTGATATACATACGAACGGAAATGTTTTTCTGGGATTCACCGTGTGGGATGTACATACAAACGAAAATGATTGGGTTTCGATGCCTCACCCGATCGCACACGAGCTCATTTTGCCCCAGCCTGTGTGCCAGGAGGGGCCTATCCCCGACGGTTTTTGGGTCATGTGGGAAGGATCCCCCTATCGCCCACACTCACTTGGCGACTGTTCCAAATGCCGTCGTGGAAAGGGGTTAAAAACCGTTTTTATATCACCGACGCGTACCAGTGGCAACTCGAAAGGAAGCAAGAAGTGTAGTTTTTGTACTCAGAGACAATTAAACATATCTTCTTTCAAAGCAAGTTTGCACGTTCTACATGGTCAGTCATCCAAATAGCGTGAAATTTGTATCCACCGACAAGTGTTGCTAATATATATGGCATTGGCTTGATGGAATACCAAATACTTTTAGTACGCTAATATGGGTGGGAGCGTCTACCTTACTATGGTCGCTTTGGCTATGTAGAAATGATTGTGTTTTTAATAACAAAATCTCTTCTCGTACACAGGTTATTTACTGTTGTACGCACTAGCTTCGTACGTGGTATACTCTGCACCGAACGGAGCATCAATTGTTGTTCAAGGCAGTGTGTATGCGGCTGGAGCAGGTGTCCAGAGAGGCCTTTACCCAACATGGGTGGCAGTATAATCTCTGGATAGGTCCACCTTCTCCGTCGACATAGGCATAGTTTCAGCCTCATATGGCTTCACTGTTGCCAATTTGTCATTTTGTATTCTTTGTCAGATTGTTTGTTTGATGATTGTGTGCATCTCAGCTATGCAGAGACCAGGTGTCGCTCTTTATGCTTTGTATCTGCTCGATGCTACATTTTGAGTTAATAAAAGCGCTCTTTATTGGAGGGAAATCCTGTAAGAGGTTTTTTCTACTAGTGCATGCTATGCTCTCCATGAGATACCTACTTCATCTTAAGTACATAGTCACTTTCTTTAGCATCTTTATTCTCGAAAGGCAATGCTTGTTTATTTGCATGCCCATGTATCATTGTTTTCATGTCAAATTGATAGATTATTGTCATGAATCACTTTTATCTTGAGAGCACAATACTTTATATCATTTGATCAAGATTATGTTGCGTAGGACTCAACATCAAAAATTATCTTGTTTTATCATCTACCTACTCAAGGAGGAGCAGGTATTAAGCTCTAGGATGTTGATACGTCACAAACATATACATAATTTTTGATGATTTCATGCTATTATCGTACCACTTTTACATATGGGTTAATATCCCTAACAAAGAGTTCCTTAACATTCTAGTACACTTAAGGACTTGGTTGCATATGGACATGTTTTTTCTTTGCGGATGTTATGGACATAGGCTTTCTCATACACAACTATCCATGCCTTTTTTGGTTCCACGATAACTTAAGAAATTAACACAATATATACATTCATGTTAAACAACCACAAATTACAAGAAAAACATACAAAATACACAAAACAATTTATTCGGGCAAACAATTCCACATGTCCCATGTGTGGAAACATATATGATCTCTAAGGAAATCTACCATATGTGTGGAAATATATATGTACCATACTTCTTTCACAGTATTTTTATCTACGCAAAATAAGCGCACAAGCAAATAAATGCATAATACTTCCGTCATTCTGTAAAATTCATCAACTTACTGCGAAACCACATGATCATCCAGTTGATCATTCTATTGGGCATTAAACCTCTTAACCATGTCACGAAGACGCTCTGCAACATCTGTCATCTCCGGTCTCTGATTGACATCAAGATTTAGACATTGCATAATCATCTCTCCTAGATTATCAAGAATCTCTCGATCTACCTCTGCAAGTTCCTTGTCCACGAGCTCAATCACAGACTTGTCCTTCGTGTAAGCATCAAGAAAGTTCCTCAATAAGCTATTCTTGTCAGAATGTGATGCCTTCTTCCTTGTAATGAGCTCCAAGAGCACAACTCCAAAACTATAGACATCACTCTTCTTGGTTAGTAATCCTGTTTGTAGAAGAACTGGATCCATATAACTCATGTCACCAATAACATTTCCAGTGTGTTGCATATCTGTAACAATTAACCTTGATATACCAAAGTCTGAGATCTTTGGTGTGAACTCGTCATTCAGAAGTATATTAGCTGGTTTAACATCACCATGGAGGATTGTGGTAGTGGTTTTTGAATGCATATAAGCTAGACCTTCCGCCGATTCAGCAGCAATTTTTAGACATTTACACATATCGAGATGCATCCTGCTACCATTATGGAGAATGTCATGAAGGCTACCATTAGGTACAAACTCATAGACCAAGATTGGGACTTCAACTTGTAAGCAACAGCCTACGAGCTTCACAATGTTCCTGTGAATGACTCGAGACTGAATGATGATCTCATTTGCAAATTGACCCTTGTTTGCTGAGTTAACATTGATGGGCTCCTTCACTGCAACTAACTCGTTATTATCCCCAATGCACCCCTTGTAAACCTTACCAAAACCACCACTTCCAATAATGTTGCTACTTTTCTGAATTTTCCTGATATCTTCCTTTTTGAATAGCTTTATATTATTAAGCTTTTCCAATGTAGGTCCGCCATTCTTTTCAAAATGTTCTTTCATCTTTCTTTTCTCTTCAATAAGAAGCCAGAAGAAGACCATAATTACCATAACTAACAGGCCCCCTATTGCACCTATATAATGCAAAAAATATGTAAACAATATCATTAACAATGGATTATTGTCAAATAAATAAATTAAAATGTCAAAAATACTTGCAGTAATTCTTTTTGTTGGTGCTTGAATATATAAAAATGTAGCAAGGTTCTAATTTCAAAGTTCTCAATATTTGAATTGTGGTGGAACGTGTACTAAAAAATAGCTAGAGTACTACATGTCATCAAATTTGTGGGCATATTCAATTTGGAGGCGGAAGAAGAATAGGTGGAAAGGGGGGTCGGAGGAAGAGAATGAAATGGATCGGGACTTGGGAGTTTGAGACTCGGGAGGAATTGGTCACAGGGGATCGTTGTGGCTGATGGGGAGATTTATCTTTTTTTTTCCAAAACGGGGATCTCCCCATCTGGGCTAGAGTTAGTTTAAATACAAACGGAGAGCTAGAAGTGGCCAAGTGGGCTTGGGATAGGTTTGGAGCCTAACATAGGAGTTCGGTGCTGACAATAGTAGTTGTCTATCACTGAAATACACCAACATTAAGGACATGTACAATGGTGCTATTCTAAGACAGTTACCTGGGCTAATTGAGGTGCAAAAAGAGAACCCGAAGAAAGAAAAACTTGCCTTCTCTTAACTAAGAGATGACCTCTTAATAACAATATCTCCCAACACATATTCAAACATATTTAGTTACTACAGATGTTCTAAGAGACAACCCATTATACATTGCATTTTAATTGTCATCTCCAGATTATAGTGGATTTAAGATAATACTATATTATTAGTTACCATACGTGCCCTAACAGGCCCATATTTCATCAAATTTTAGCGCATCGGTTTTTCAGTTAAATCAGGGTGATTCATCGACACGCCATTATCCTCTGTTGGCATGTTCTAGTGCAACACCGCTTGAGTGCTCTCCTCTGCATTCCCACTAAAGAAGTACTTCTTAATTTAGCAGGGTGTGTGCTAGGATTTTTTAGGAGTCATCAAGGTTGTTTTTGTCCAAAGGAGGTTAACCCCCAGCCCTCTGCATCGTTGTGATGCACATAACCCTACTTATAAGTCATTAAAGTTGTGAACAAGACAAGTTTATAAGGGTATGAGATCTCCCACCGCAAGGTGAGGACCTAGTAAAACAATCATAGACAGGTATTTATCGCTAAAAGCTTTAGGTGGATATGCAACTTTAATTGCAAGAACGGCTGGGTCTTTGTAACCGCGGTTTTCTGACCAGAAGCTTCTATTTGAATCCAGAAACAAACCAATGTCCGGTTGTCACTAAAACATACTTTAGGTTTCCGCATTACTGTTTTGTGCGACTTCAGAATATATCATGTTCCTTGTGTTGGTTAGAATTGCCTAGATTCACATAGTTTAGTTTGCAAGTTAATCTCTAGGATTATTTTCTGAAAATCTCCTAGGTAGCTCTAGTCAATGTATTAATAGATCTGTTCTAGAAAACTTTGACCGTACGACTATATACAATAGAGATAGTTCCTCACCTTAATGCGTTAATAGTCAAAGTTATATTCTAGATCATTTATGTTCAAAATGTTGTTGGTGATGGACGAATAAATGATATCCAGTCTGCACATGCATAAAGGCTGGAAGAGATATCGTTTGGATAACGTATTGCGATTCAACTCAGCAGAAGAAGAAGAAAATGTATTACCATTCAAATAACACATCACACTGTTTGGAGGTGAAGCGAAGGCACATACATACCTACAATGATCTTTGCGTTGGTTGGAAAATTCGGGCTGCATACTTCTTTGTACGGATCAGCACTGTGTGTATGTTTGGGGCATGTACATTCGTAAGAACCTTGTCTGTTCGTGCACACTCCCTTGCAAGAGTAGTGGTCAAGATGCTCACACTCATTTATATCTGCAATATTTTTTTCAACTTTATTCGTTAGAACACAATACTAAAACGACCGTGATTCAGCATATAGGGAGAAAAAGATAGTATTTTTTCATCCAAACTAGCGAGTGTTTCTTCTGTTAAATGGAAGTAGATTTCAGCTGTCAAGGCATATTTAATCCAAGAAACGGGAAAACACATGAAGTGCAACAGAGGTTGTTTCGTTGCACCACAGAAAATGCAGAAAAACTTTCTAAATTACTGGTGCATTCATAGTGTGTGCTCTTTTTTTTTGAGTTTGACTCAATGACGTTTTTTCTTTGGAATTGCATGCAAAAGTTCAAACTCAAAAAGAAGCATGGAGGTTTCTTTTGTTTCCGTGAGAACTATAGGACTACGACAAATGGTGCAATTTGCATCCATGTGGTGGTCAAGTAAGCATAAACATGCATAAAAATCTTTAGGTTTAAAATTAATCAGCAAAATGAAATGTTTTGAAGGACTGTAAAGAACTCATTTTTTTTTTACTTTTGGAAAATGGAGCAAAAAAAATTTAAAATGGAAAATGCAAGAAATGAAAAAATTAGTGGTATTATAGAAGAAAAAAAACTATGGAGTTTGATAAGGTCAAAAGTAGCTTATGAAAGTTCATAAAAAATATCATAAAAAGAGCACACACTATGTTCTTGAAGATCAAAAAAGTTCTAGAGACAGGCTAGATGTTGATAACTTGATGGCTATGTTCTTGAAAAGAAGAGACCGAACAGGAAAAGTTATTATATTAGAAGAAAAATATGTTATGGCAATTCTTTAAGCTTTTTAACGCATGTGCTAGATTAAAAAAAACTTACCGGTATGTACATGCATGAAGAGAAATTTACAGTATGGATGAAAACATTACAAGGAATCACCAGAAAAATCGAAAATATTTGCTCGTATGGGCTTGCTCAGCGACTAGTTGATCGATTTGGGCCTTAAAAAGCTGGCCAAATTCGAGCCCATTCACCCAAAAAAAATAGCACACAGTTTTCGCTCTGTCCGTTGACACAGTTAAGTTTTCTTTTTCAGAAGAAATGCCAACAACAACAAAAAGACCCTAATTTCCATGATCTGAATTATGAAAAACTGCCATGCTAAACTTTAAAAACTGCCATGATCAAAAAAGGAAAAAATGCCATGCCATTAAACACTAAAGTGCCATCCTCTAAATAATAAAATAAAATGCCATTTTATTGGCTATTAAAATGGCATACTCTTAAAAATAAAAACTGCCATGTTGATGACAAATATTAATAATAAAATTGACATCCTCTTAATAATAAAAATACTATGTTGTTGATTACTAAATGAAATCTTGTAAATAAAAATTCCATATTATTGACTGTTAAAATTGTCTTGCTCTTAATAATAAATCTTATTGATAATAAAATGTCATGCTTTTAGTAATAAAGCTGACACCTATGAATAATAAAAATGCCATATTTTGATTGTTAAACGACCATCCTCCAAGAAATAAACATGCCCCTTTATTTGACTATGAAAATATCAGGCTTTTAATAAATGAAAATTGTCGTGTTACTGATAACAAAATACCATGCTCGCGAAAAGATAAAACTATAATAAAATAGGCCTATGAATTGCCATGCTACCTATAATAAAACTGCACATAGCAAGTTGAAAAATAGGGATTTTGGTTCTTTCAAAAATGAATAAAAGAAGGTTTTTTGGATTTTTTAATAGAAAAACAAATTTAAAAACAGCTCACTCAAATACATAAAAAAGATTTGAGCGAAACTGTTAACGAAACCTAGATTCATCCTAGTGGTTAGCGTTCTTGCTACTCCAGCTGGAGGTCGTATGTAAAAATAAAAGGACAACGCTAACGCCGACACGTGTGGTGTAAGTCAAACCCGTCCACACGCCTTATAACACACAGACTGCACCACGTCACCGCATGCATGCATGTGGAAATTTTTTCGGATTTTCAGTTTTTAAAATGGTTTATCTATTAAATGAAAAATTCGAGTGAGGATCCGTTTTCACCATTAAATCTCTCGCGACGAGAGCTTTGAAACTAGATCATATATCAATATATTTCAACGAATTTTTTTGGGTTAAAAGTTGTCATGTCTATTGCACATGAATTGCCATGATGTTTACACTGAAGTTGTCATGATATATTTCAGCTATTTTCTTCTACATTTAAAAGTAAAATTTGACATATTATAAAACGGTGAATTAAGAAACTAGACTTGACATGAACTATAAAATAAAATTGCCATGATACATGCACTTAAAATTGCCATGGTTCATACCAAAAAAAAAACTCATGGTCAAAGTACTGGAATTGCCATCATCAAAAAACTAAAATTGTCATGCTCTACAAACTAAAATTGCCACATATGGCAACCTTAGTTTAAATACTATGGCAACTACAGTGTAAACATCATGACAATTTTTGGGTAAAATATTTTTTCGTTGAAACATATCAACATGGGGTCTAATTTTGAAGATCTCGTTGAGACGAATTTAATGGTGAAAACGGATTTTTAATTCGATTTTTTAATTAGAAGATAAAACATTTTAAACCGAAAATCAAAAGGATTCTTGCTGATGTCGTCTGTTCATACGTGGCAAAATGAGTGGTAATGAACGCGTGTGGGCGATGTGCAAGATGCTACACGTATGGGCGTTAGTTTTTTCGAAATAAAAAGGGAACGTACGCTTTGCGCCAAGATCCGTGCGAAAAAAATAAAAAATGAAGTATTCATGTTGCGCCAAGATCTGTGCGACAGAAGGGAAGGCATTCACTAAGGTTGTCATCCTGGCAAACGTTCGTCGGATAGCATTGCAAGAAATTGTGAAGTACTCCCTCTGTAAATTAGTGATCTAAACGCTCTTATATTAATTTACAGAGGGAGTACCATATTCAGATTCTAAATTCGATTTATCGGTCCTACTCGAGTCGCGTGTAGCAGGACGAACTTACCGGTACAACCATCAACAATATAGAGGTTGCCCTCGTAGCCTCGGCGGCAGTTGCAGATGTATCCAGGTCCATTGGTAGAGTTGAGGCAGAGACTGTTGGAGCTTATGCAGGCGTACCCCTCCTTCTTCCTTGCCTCCTTGCAGGTGGGGCTGTCGCGGATGGCCCAGTCGAGGACCACCGGCATCTCCCAGCCCCAGGTGTTCTGGCGCAGTGCCCTCTTGAGGTCGGTGGTGTTGAAGGTGTAATGTTTTTTCTCCGCCACAAACGCATAATCGCAGGGGCTGAAGTTGACCTTGTCGGTGTTGTCGTAGCTCATGAAGGCCACCCAGTTGTCGGTGAGGTCCGGCGGAATGCCTACGTGGCAGCAGCCTACCCCGGAGCAGGCACCGTTCACCGCGCTCTGGGAGTTGTTGCAGTAGCAGAGGCAGCCGGTGAACTGGGCGTAAGACGTGCTTTCGCCGGAGCCCTGGTCCGGCTGGCTCGCGAGGTAGCCCGTGGTTTTGCAGCCCAGGACAAAGAGGTTGCTCTTGGCGTTGGAGATGCGGTACACGCCCCCTTTGTTGAACTCTAGGTTCCTGTAGTCTGACCTACTCGGCTTGCCGGAGGAGTCGTAGCACTGCCACGCTACAGGCAGCCACACGCGGGCCTCAGCCGCCTTGATGGAGAAGTTGCCGATCTTAACAGGATCCGGTTCCTACCATTATGAGTCGTCCATAAGTTTCAGGGAACCGGATCCTCTAACATTGAGAAGGAATGTTAGAGAAACTACAGTACCCTAACTTTCCTTCTTTCTATTCATATGATTATGTCTAAAACGACTTAAATTAATTTGCAAATTGATGATCTACGGTGTATATTTATAGTAATTACATACAAACAAATTGATGGTGAAATAAAATAAATTTATATTATTTATATCTACAGTAATACCAGTAGTAAACAACCTATTAACTATCTACTAACAGTCCTTAACTTTCCTTCTTTATTTTACACTAGGCTAACACTGTAGCACCGTGACATTCCTTCTTAATGTTAGAGGATCCGGTTCCATAATGGTATGGTTATCAGAAAGGTCTTGTTGCAACATGCTACTGGATCCATGTTCCAAATGTTGCCTTGTATGCTCCGTGGTGTCCTCTCTATAGGCGGTATGCCATGTACCGAATGGGTATCATGCTGATGGCCTGCGGTTGGTCGGTCATCAGCTTTCCACAGCCCCCAACAGACTTATTATTTACTTTCTTCGTACTAGGATGACTTTGTATGAAATTAGATTGATGCTTTATTTATAAAGCGGGCTAAAAGCATAATTTGAAAAAAAATAGCTCGATGAAGAATATCCCGGCAGAATCTATGCGGCCCCAATATCCACTGCAAGTAGCGTGCAATTGGTATTACTATCGGTGAGGCGAGGTAGACACTATCGGGGAGCCGCCGATGTGGCCCTTTTCTCATCGACGCCTGACGCTAGTGCTAGCACCAAGAGCCTCCCCGTGTGTAGATTGTTGCATGGGCATGAGACGACAAACACCCACCCTTGGTCACGGGATCGCCTTGTGGCACCGTTACCGATAGTATGTTATACACCGATTGGACTGTGCACGGGAGCTAAGGGACCTTACCCAGGAGGAGCTATGGTTATGAAGAATGCTCAAACTGGTGCCACTGGGTCTGGCATCCTTGCAGCGCACAATCGAGTAGGAACGGTCATAGCTGCGCTGGATTAAGGAGGGTGATGCCAATACAAAGCTTTTCGAGGCAGTTGCCAATGGTAGGCGGTCGAAGAACTTCATTGCGCATGTGAAGTACCAGGGGGAGATCATCTCCGAGCAGGATAGAAAGGGGGAATTTTCACGGATGCATACCAGCAGCTCATGGGACGCGCCACGTCATGTCACGATGGGATTGACCTCAACCTCCTGGGCATGGACTCGCACGATCTAGGGGAGCTAGATGAGATATTCATGGAGGAAGAAGTTTGGAATGCCATTAAAGAGATGCCAGCAGATCGTGTGCCAGGGCCGGACGGATTTATTGGTGCCTTCTACCAACGCGCGTGGCCTACAATTAAACAAGATGTCATGGCTGTCAGGTACAAGCGGTATGTAGGAGAAGGCATAGGATTTGCGAAGCTAAATAAGGTACATATCATATTGGTCCCGAAGAGGCAGGATGCGGAGGAAGTAGGAGACTTCCGCCCTATTAGTTTGACCCATAGTGCAGCCAAACTTTTTGCTAAGGTCCTGGCAATCCAGGCTAGAAGAAGAATGAAGGAGATAGTGGAAGTTAATCAATCTGCGTTTGTCCTGGGACGAGCTCTGCACGACAACTTCCTCTTAGTCAGACAAGTAGCTAGAAAGATCCATGCCCGGAAGAAAAATGTGTGTTCTTGAAGCTCAATATCTCTCGCCATTTCGACTCTCTCAGCTGGCCCTTCCTATTTGAGGTTCTATGCGCTTAATGGTTCGGCCAAAAGTGGCTACAGTGGATCTCGATATTGCTAAGTACTGCTTCAACAAAAGTGGTGGTTAATGGAGTTTGGCTTGAGTTTTAACCATGCACAAGGGCAACGACAGGGAGACCCAGTCTCACCGCTCTTATTTCTAATTGCGATGGATGTTCTGACCAAGATTTTCACCAAAGGAGAGGAGGTTGGGGCTTTTTGCTCTTGACGGAGATCGCCGCGTGCAACGCCACTCCATATATGCAGATGATGTTGCCTTGTTTGTGAGACCTTCAACGCAAGATCTTGGCTTTGTGAGAGAAGCACTGCAGGCTTTCAGAAATGCTTCGGGGCTTAGAGTAAATTACACCAAATCTTCTTCCATTCTAATCAGGGGAGACAATCTAGACAAGGAAGGGTGGCGGTTATGCTGCATTGTAACATGGCAGATTTCCCATGCAGATACCTTGGACTCCAGCTCGCCATTCGACAACTAACGTGAGCAGAATGGAAATCGCTCCTCGACTCTACACAAAAACTGGTACCTCCTTGGCAGAGAGGATTGATCCAACGACCTCGTCGTTTGGTACTGGTCAAGTCAGTCATTGCAGCCAAACCAATCCATCACTTTCTGGTGTCAGACGCACCTTCTTGGATTTTTGAGGAGCTCGATCGTTTTATGTGTGCCTTTTTCTGGGCTTGGAAGGACAAAGTCAATTGTGGTTAGGGATGACAGTTTTGCCCATGGGTACCCTACCCGAAAATAGTGGGTATGGGTAAGACTTTCTACCACTTCATACCCACGGGTATGGGTATCCATACCCACAAAATGCATGGGTAGGATATGGGTATGAAATTATTCCCATGGGTAACCCAATGGATACCCAGAAAATAAATAAATAAATAAAACCCTATAATATGCAGATAAATAATTATCTTAAGTTCTTAACTAGCCCATGGATCACTGATTAAGACCTTTAATTGTGTGTCAGTTGTCATTGTGAATTTTTTATGTAAGTGCAAACCTGATTGTTATGGATGGGTACCTAAATTAAGACCCTTTTCTCATCTTACTTTTTTCATGTCAACGCTATGTATTGTACCCATCGGATACCCATTGGGTATAGGATACCCAATGGGTATGGGCATGGGTACCAATTTGTACCCATGGATATAGAAGTGGGTGGGTATAGAAAAATGATTTGGGTATGGGTTTGGGTAGAAAAGGTCCGTACCCGCCCATACCCTACCCATTGCCATCCCTAATTGTGGTCAATGTCTTGCGGCCTGGAGCAACATCTGTCGGCCCTTGTGTATGGGAGGCCTTGGAGTGAAAAACTTGCAGTTAGAAGCTCTATCGTTACGAGTCCGGTGGGAGTGGCTCTGCAGAACAGATGACACTAGACCTTGGAGTGGAATTCCAATGACAGAAGATGAGGATGCAAGACATGTTTTTGACAATATGGTGCATACTGAGGTAGGGGATGGCAATAAAGTGTTGTTCTGGAGAGACAGGTGGATCCATGGGTTTGCGGTGGCGGACATTGCCGCAACGATTGTTGCAGCAGTGGACACCCACGTCAGAAACAGACGCACGGTTGAGCAAGCTTTGGATAACAGCAGGTGGACACAGGATGTGAGAGGAGATCTATCTTTCACTGCGCATATGCAACTCCTGCATTTGAATCATGCTCTACACACGGTCGACCAAGATGCAGGTGGCCCAGATGTATTCTCATGGCCTTGTGACCCTTCAGGAATGTATATAGCCAGATCCACCTATCAACGACTCTGCTTTGGTGGTGTGACAGCTCCTTTCGCCGCTTGCATCTGGAAGAGTTGGGCACCCCTTAAGTGCAAACTTTTTGCGTGGCTGGCTATTCAGCATCGCGTGTGGACCTCTGACAATTGAGCACGCCATGGGCTGCAGGACCAACCGTCCCCTTGTTACACTTGCTTGCAAAACAAGGACAATGCAGGGCAAATCTTAGTGAACTGCGTGTATGCCAGAGAGGTGTGGGAGAGCTGCTTTAGTTATCTGAATTTGGCAGTCCCAAGGCCGACCCCTTAGGATACCTATCTTCAATGGTGGCTAAACAGGAGAAAGCACTATCACAAAGCACAAAAGAGAGGATTTGACACCCTGGTGATCCTGGTGGCTTGGGCCCTGTGGAAGCAGCGAAACGCAAGGGTGTTCAATAGGGCGAACCAAGTGCTAGCGGCACAAAACCTCAAAGACATGATTTTTCAAGAGATCAAGGAATGGCGGAGAGCAGGAGTAGGAATGCAGGGTTTACAATGTTTTGTGAGAGAGTATCTTTAGAGTATGGTCGCTGGTTATGGGTGTGAGTATTGGCTTAAGGAACGCTCGCATCTCCTTTAAGCTTCCTGTAAATACATTTGCTCTCTTTTATAAAGATAAGGTACGCTATTGGCGTACTCTCGATAGAAAAAATTGCCGCATGATCATGCCTTTTTTGACGGCACGTGCAACCTGCACTAGCTAGACACCATATGGCCTCAGCCTAGGCCGAGCCTCCTTCGTAATGGCCGCACGAATAGTCGTCTCACGAGATGAGATAAATGTTGATGCGGTAGTTGTTGTTGCCGGCACCAGGTGAAAGAATTGAGATGGACCTAGAGGGGGGTGAATAGGTACAATAACAAATTTTAATTGTTACTTAGCAATTTTAGGAACTAATGCAGAATATGAAAGTGAGTCTAACAATTGTAAGTGTAGTATTAAGTGTTAAGCAAGATAAACAAGAAACACAAGTATGTAAGTAAACAAGCAAAATATGATATAAGTAAGTGCTAAGAGACAAGTAACCACAAGTAGAGGGTTAGGGTTAGGAATAACCGCAACTCCGGGA